CTTTGATTTCTCCAGTGCATTAAACTGCCGCAAGTGTTGTGGATAAGTCTGGTCAGAGTTCAAGTTTCTGCCAGTTCTGGAAGAATAATTAGCAAGCCTTCCAAGAGCTCTGAAAGCAGTGATGTTGTTAACAAGAGGTCCAGGCTAGGTATGCCCCTCCCCCCCCTTTTAAGAAGGGCTAGCAATGGATGAAATACATAATAATTTGTTAACTTAGACTGAAATCTGTCCATATGCTCCATGTTATCTTGTTTGATGATGCAGCTAGGCTTGGTTTTGAGACTGTGGTGTTTCAAAGACTATTTAATAATATTTGCTTATTTCTTTTTGGTGAAATTCAATATATAGGAATGTAGATGGCAGGAATAGAGAATTGCTGTTAATCCTCATTATAACTTAGAGGAGGGATAGAAATATTCCATGTATGTAAAAATCAGATATGCTACATAAAATTCTTTAACTTTAGAAATACTAACTCAATTAGATATTTTTCCTGATAAAAGTAACAAACAGAAGTCTTAATTGTTTGTCTACAGCAATATGATGTCTCAAAAATAGAATCGGAGTAGAGCCTAAACCTTCAGCCTGCTAGTGCTGTTCAGTAAATAAAATCTACTGTCATGATGAAGGTACAATTTTAGTATTGACCTGCAGAAAATATTATGAAAATTATTTGGGTTTGTATTTGCAGTAAAAGAGGATATTTCAATGTAAAAAAGAACCAGTAAACAATTGTTTGCTTGATATATGTAAGGCTGGCTTCTCCCTCTGATTTGCTCAAGTTAGTATTACTTAAAGGGGTTTACAATCATCCATAAGCTATGCATGGTTTGGTATAGCCCATTGTATTGATTGTTTTACTCATTCCATATGTTCTTTGAGCATCGTATTGAAATTGCAGTTAAAGAGGGGAAGAAGAGTACATTTGGGTGAGGGAAAATAAACAATAATCGTTTAGACCACACAGGATTAATTGTTTATTCCCCAGAAAGAGCAGACTACAAGTGGAGCTACTGGAAGGTTTAGAACTGAACTTAAATAGCTTAAATATCTTTTATAATTGGTGTCTGATGAGTTATGATGCATCAGTATGAGGAAATATTGAATGTCAACTTTAACATGATTTTTGTGATTTTTGAATAATTAACACATTAGAGGGGGAGGGTAAAATAATCTCATTGCAAAGCACAAGTCATCTTTCTCCTTTGTCCGTGCCACCAGATGGAACATAACTAGGTTGTTTCACTATTCTGCCCATCTCATGTTATAGATGCTTTGAGTATAATTTAATATTTCACTAGCCAGTTAACCAGAAAAAATAATACCTGTCACTAACAGTCTGAACTGTTATTCCCCAGGTTTAATCAACTCATTTTACCAACGTTTCTTTTGCCCCCCTGTTTGAGGTCTCCTATTTGGCACAGACGTCATGCGATACCCGATGTGGGAGCTGGAGACTTGAGAGCTGTTTTCCTAGACTAAATGTTTGAGGTTACAGGACGTGGCCTAGTTTCACATAAGCTTTCAAATTTCAGTGGGACATGCTGAATCCTGAAACTGTCAAATAGTGTATTATTTTTGGAGTGAGAGAGAGTATGTGTGTGTGAGTGTGTGAATGACCTTTACATTTTTACCCTATCCCAAAAGTCTGACTTCCTGCCCTTTCTCCCATGAGTCCATAAACTTTAGCAATTAAAGCGAACACTTTTTAAGGAAGAAATTTGGTATAGGAGAGAACAACTGGGAAGGGGAATGGTGTATTAAGGGGAAAACAAGGAAAACAGCTAAATGCTATAAACTGCTTGCTTCATGAGGGATATAGAAAAATCTGGAGAAGCTGGGATTCTTCAATTTTGCCATGTTCCCTTCTCCATCTTAGTAATGTCAAGACTTGTGTGGGTCTGTGTGTATGGGGTTGTTCTGTTTCCTGCAAAAGAAACTGAAAGACTTTTCCTACTCTTCATAATAGGAGTGATGAATCTTAACAAATGCCATATCTTAATTTCCAAATCTGTAATTAATTCTAAAACTTTGTAAACTAACAGAATGGACTTCTCTAAACACTGAATAAAAGTGCTTATGTCTCTGTTTACCAAACTTCTCCTCCATGATATTAGTGATGTAAGTGTATTCATTTCACAGGTACCATGTGCACCCTGATCTTGCAAAGAGCTGTGCCTTAGAGTGTTACTTACCTTGCAAAGTCAGATCCACAGACTCTAAAATTCTGGAGACAGAGAGGTATGTTCTGAGTGGTAACAGCAAAACTGTAGACATTGTAGCAAATTTACGCGTTTGTGTGTCCTCCTCGTCCCCCCACCCCGCTACACAAGGACAACTGCCTTCCTTATCTAGAGAGTTGCAAGTCTTTGCTATGTCTAAAGGAAGAAAAATAAGAACAAACCCACATTTCTATCTGACACCCCTCTTTCCTGCAGGTCACTTACGAGTGTAAGCTTATAAAATAAAAATGCCACCATTTTTATGTGAGCAGTGAAATTAAATCCATTTTCCTGTGGATTTTTATCTTCCTTCCTTAGCCAAAAAAAAAAAATTTTTTTTTTGTCCCATAAGCTCTATCCAGTATCCCTCTAGTTATTGTCTGAGCAAAATGCAGCTCTTTGTTTCATTGGTAAATTGGCAGTTGAAGCACAATGCGTCACACCTGAGCTCTTGCTGCAGCTTCTTACACTGTGTGGGCCATTGAAATGGGCATCTCCTCTACCTCATTGCTAGTTTTTGCAAGAGTTGTAGAAACTTTTAGACCTCTATATTTTGACAAAGCTTGTTGAAAGTGGCAGGTATTTTAGATGTTTTGGGAGGACTGCTGGATAATGCAATTCTGGATTCAGAATGCAAATCTGGAATCAGACCTTTTTCTACCTTTTCCTTCTGAACTCATCTAATAATTAATGCTAAAAAAGAATTAAACGGTAGGTAATATGATACAGGGATATCTGTGTGGATTATAACTGCGTAGGGCCTTTTCTTATGGGAATAGATGTGTACTTTCCCTTCACTTTGCAAGTACATATTGATATAACAGACTGAGACGTTCAGGGCAATGAAGTGTACGTGAGCCTTATGATTTAACGGGAAACTATTCGAAGCCTGGGAACTTGGTCTGAAAAGTGACATTATACTTAATTTGGCTCCCATGACAGAGCTCCCATCAAACTGAACTATTCCGCTCAAGAAGGCGATTAACCAGGCTGGCTCAGTGCATTGGCAGTACTCCTTGTGAGTTCATTTTTTTCCTTTAGGGAGATAGGTGTCTCTCAAATAGCACTGAGTGCTAGGAATGTCTGCTATTTTTTTCTTCCCCTGTCACTGAGTCATTGATTCTGTCATCTTGACTTCTGTGTGTTTGGGAAGGAGGGGTAATTTGTACCCAGCTTTAAAGCTCTGCAAACTCTTTCATATAGAAGCTGTTGTTACATGAAGCAACTTTCTTTGTGAGAGAAAGCCTGGAGTTTGGAGTCAGCCTAAAACCTAAATCTGTGATGCTGAGAATAACCTTAGGCAAGTCATGTTATACTTCTGGCTCATTCGTTAGTTATTGAGATGTGAATGCTAAATACTATTAGCAATATATATTACTGTATAGGGAGAGCAAAAAAGCACTGTTCTGAAAGAAAAAAAAATCTGTAGAATATAGCGCAAGTCTAGTCTACTGGGACACCTGTGGGAGGTCCATAACACAGTATTGCTTTCTTGGCTTGTAAACAGCTGTTGTAATTTGAAATGGTACTTAGGACTACTTAGTAGTCACTACTGAAAATGCAGGGCACATGTGTTAAGCTTTATTGTGTAATGCATTTGGCCCTGTGTGCCTCCTGGGTTATCAGTAAAGCCTTGAACCAGTGAAATGTGCTCCTGCCTTTAGCATCTCAAATGCTCTCAGGCCTCTCCAATGCTCATCTACCTGTTGTTTTTTGGTTTGTTTGTGTTTGGTTTTTTTTTTTTCCAGTTGGTTTGCAGGAGAGCTGTTAATCACTGTTAATAATCATGATTATTCTTAAACCCTTAAAGGTGTGATTTTTAGGAAGCATCCTATGCAACATAAACATAATTTTACAGGAAAATGAATTATGCAAACCCAGATGTTGGTGATTAAGCATAAGAAGAGCAAACGATCCAAATCTTGACCTGCCTTTTTCATGTGAATTTGCGATGTCCATGTGACTTTGAAATCAAATCTCGGCATCAAACTTCCCAGCGGCACCAGGGTGGGGGTATCCTTACAGGCAGAATGAAGGTGTGCTGTGACAGCGAGCGGGCTGAGCTAATTAGCGACTCACCCTACAGCGCCTAATTAGCGTGGGCAAGATGAGAGCAGAGTGCCGGTGCCGCAGGGGCAGTTACAATAACCCTTTCCCCAGGGGCTCTCTGCAGCCGGTGCTCTTGGCTCCCTCCTCCTTCGGCCAGGCCTGGCCCCGAGGAGCCCCAGGCACACACCTGGGGAGGGGGCACCAGCTGCTAGGTGTGTGGCCATCAAAGCAAACTGCTTTAATTGCCTCCCCGAGATGAGGAGGCCTGGGCCAGAGGGCCTGGCAGAGGCAGCGTGTGGGTGGTGGAGGATGCCCACAAGCAGGTGCTGAGAGGAGAGCCAGGGCCGTTTGTCAGGGGTTTGGGGGTTTTCATCCCTGCTGGCATGGACGCGCTGAAGATGGCTTTGACCGCTCTTTCGCCTTTTTGGGTCGCCCCTCGGGGTGCCCGCCGTTGAGGCGATGCGCTTAGCGTGTATTTTAGCGCGCTCCCAACGTGTGGAGGGAGGTGGGTGCCCGCGCTGCGTGGTGGAGCTGCCCCACGGGCGGGATGGAGGCCGCGTTTCTCTCAGGCTTCGCGTTCCTCCCGACTGGAAGCCCGGCGGGGCAGCGACGGGTTTTGCCGCCGCCCGGGGCTGAGGCGGCGGGCCGCGGCAA